GAATTCCCCAGCCAGCCAGGCTGGCTGGGGAATTCTGGGAGTTGAGGTCCACAGGTCTTAAAGTTGCCAAGGCTGAGAAACACTGGTCTAGTACAATTTAAAACACACACAACTTTTCAGACTAAAAATAATGAGTTTACTTGCTCCCAGTCAAAAGATTACCATCATAGTTGCTCCAAAATTCTGCTCAAGTGCCGAATAGCTGATGGTTCCTTGTTTAACTTTTTAAAATCAGCATTAAAAAAAAAAAAGCATTTATTGAAACGTATGGGAAGCTTTGCCAGAGAGAAATTCAGTTGCTTTTCCTGTAGTCGGGGTTTTAATATGCAGCACAGCCCGTTATATTGCTCAATGACTTGAGCAGGCAATATGAATTAGACACATTGAAAACAAAATGCAAATGTGCACAATTTCTGCATGCTGCAGAATTCAGGTTGCCTTAATTCAAACTTATATAAAATTCAAAGAGTGCACAGAATCTAAATTATTTCACTTTATTATAAATATCATCTTTATCTTACAAGCAAAGAGATAGCTCAAAATGAAAAAAAGAATTTTGGTTGACCTTAACAACTAACAGATACTTTTGTTGCACACATTTTCAGTAAAAGCGGAAGAGACTTGGTGGCATATTATGTTGAAGGGTTGATCTAAAGAGGAGAAACAAGTCATTGTCAAACTAAATAAGCGGGCACAGATCTAATACTAAATATGTCTATTTTAATAGCTAGCAAGCAGATTTCACTCTCCCGAGATGTTCTGTTACTGACCTCAAAATCAGTATAATTCAGCAAGAATAGCAAATCTTCAAGGCAGAAAGCAGCATGAAACTGTCCAATTAAAAGTGATTAATAATTTGATTCCATTTATTTAAATCTTACTCAAGAGCAAGGATTTCTCACTCATCATAGCAAGGGTGCACAATCTTTTTAAGAACAAGGGCTATGGCGGGCCTTTGAATTCTACACCAAGGATCACACTACCCAAAGTGGAGCAAATTGGGACTTTTTAGTTATGGGAATATGATTACACCCAGCATAGGTAATAATTTCCCCTTTTGTCACATGAAGAATTATAGGTTGTTGCAAATTTTGGAGGAGCTTTGGAAAACGAACCCAGAGTTTTAAGGAGGCAAATCTAATTTTGGGGCAATACATTATACGCCTCTGCCACAGAGGAAGTTTCTGCAGTAGCAAAGCTGAAGAATTTTTTGTTATTGGTAATTTCTATGATGGGTGTAGTTGTCACTGGTCTTGTTTTGTGTACTTTCCTCTAAAATTTGAATTTTGACTATCTGTTTGACAGTTGTATTTAATCTATTATCAGCTGAACTGGAAAACAAGCCTGATAAGAGACACCACACAGAATTTACCATAATAAAATAAGCCCACCCAAGGAAGCCTCTCAATCCAACCCAACTCAAAGACAGGAGTTGGGAGCCTTTGGCCTCTGGATATTGCTGAACTAAAATAACTGGCCAAGCTGCTGGAGAGTTGCAGTTCAGCAACATAAGAAAGGCCACGGGTTCTCTAGGCCTGCTTTGTGCTGTTAGCCTGTATTATTTCCTCTGAGGGTTTTTTTGCCTCCCTATTTTCATCTCCTGCAGATTATCTGCAATCACATGGCCAGAACTTAATCTCAGATCATGTGAAATGTAAAAGAAATGCATGGTGGTAGCACCTACTAAGTAGCCTCTCCAGCACCCTCCCCCTCCCCCCCATACCACAGCCCCTTCTATTATGCAGGATCAGAATTTATACACCATACCAAACCAAATTGTGGTTTGCTTCCTTGGGTCTTATCATACCGTGTTAATTCAGCTACTGTGGCATGTAAACAATCCTTTCTGGTTAAATATACTGGGTGAATCCAACAAATGGTAGTTTCTTCAATAAATTGTGATTATACAAACCACAGCTTTGCATGTGTGAAAACAGTGCACATTCACAAGATGACCTGAATACCTCCCCTTCTATAAGTTAAGCCATGCTTGTACTAGCTTACTTCCTGCTTCCTCCCATTTGGCTTTCTGGCTAAACATCTAGGTTTCTGGTCACAGTGACAGAGCCACAATGTCCATTGCATTCTTCCTCTGACAGTAGGCAACTGGTTCATCCCATGAGACAAGCAGTACCGCTGTGCCACAAATGGCCAATTCTGTATCCCAACTCGGCAGCGCAAAAGACCTTCCCAGAACGTTCAAACATCGGGGCCTCTGCAAAGCCTGGCACACATTGAACTAACAACGTATTTTGGCAATGCAGTCAATGAGAAGCTGTCCTTGTGCCAGTGACCTGAGCCAAACAACCAGCCTTATAATATCACCCCATGGTAGCTACACAAGAATGATGCACTTGAGGAGAATCACAGGCAAAGTTGTCTTACAAGCTAGATGCATTATTTTGCAAATGGCCCAGCAGTTTAAAAATGGAAACTATGAAATTGTAAGTTGTACCATGCTTTGAGAAAATGTTCCTTATGCTCTAGTGGACCTTTAAAAGAAAAAAAAATCTATTTTGTGTGACCTTGAGCAGTTACAAGTCACTAAGTCAAGCAGTGTTAGAGACAAAGCAAAATCAGAACCTAAGCTCTTGATGTGCCTAACCCTTTAATGACATCTTAATACAGCTATGTCCCCAGGCTCATAATTTAGTGACAAAGCCACATTTACCAGGTAAAACCTGAATGTCACAAGGAGGGAAATCAAAAGGAGGAAGTGCTGATTCTGCTTATCTTTTTCATGCATGGAAAGAAATGGGTGGCACTCTTCGCTTAACCCTCTTCAAGCTTCTGAAGACAACAGACTCACTATTTTGCCCGTTTTCCAACTACTCAGATTAAGTCTG